CTTTGGAATAAAATTTTGCTGAGTGTTTTTGGATGATTTTTGCTTACAGATGACCAATATCAAACTGCTTATACAACCTCAGATTTCTTTGGCCACTATTGTCACGGCAGCCAAAGTTGGCGTTGGTGTTTTGCTAAAGTTTGTATTTATTCTTTCTTCAGATTTAGACTTAGAAGATCAATCCCTGGCTCCTTTATCACTTCCACACAGTTGGCCAATCACTGTGTGAAGTGGGTGTGGATGTCAGATCATCAGTTTCAAAAACTTACAGTGATTTGAAATGTGCAGTACTTCAGGCTTTATTTCAAGGACTGGTGGTATACTGTAAATTTTATGTTTTTAAATTAGGATAAATTGTACATGAGGGAAACACAAATTGGATGTACCAAAATTAAAGATAGTAGTTAGCAGCAGGTTGTGCAGATGTATAAGCGTAGTCTTATCTCTGCCTAACGGGAGCTGCCAGGTCCCTCAGACTCTTTTCATAGCCCTCTACTGAAAAACACTGATAATCTGTTTGCTCCTCTAACATTGTTCCTCAGAAGACGAAAAGCAGGTCTTATTGTTTCTTAGCAGCAGCACTCTGAGCAGGAAAGCTCCTCTGAGTGCCACTGATATTCGCCTCCAACATATTATGAAGGTCTGAGCCTGTTACAAAGCCAAGCTGAGGCAGGCTGAGCCTCTGTCCTACTGTGGATTTACTGTATTGTCTTGCCTTTGCTTGCTTTTACTTTACAGCTGGTCAGAGGATCTGGCAGCTAGTGTGGCCTTTTTAACAGCTCTTTTTTTAGGGGTGGGGGGTCCTTTGAATTTTTTCCAAGGTTTCTTTAAATTGAGGGAAAAAAACTACTTCAGCAGTGATAGCATAGTAGGTTATATACTGCTGTATACAGCACGAGGAAACTGCTGTGTTTTAATGTTTAAAAAAGGAATGGGTAGGTCTGAATTACAACAAGAGGTACATCTGCTTAAATAATAGTAATACCAAAATTGAGTGAAAATTGTTTTTGCACATCTGTTTTACAATTTGCCACACAACCATTTTAAGTCATTCAGTGCTCTCTGAATTTGACGTTTATTTAGAAAACCTGTGGTTAATTTCCAAAGACAGAAACCTAAACAGCGTTCATTAATAGAGGACAAAGAAAGTTTTTAGAGCAAATTTTGTAAAAATTGGACAAAGAGAATGGCCCAAATGTACACTATCTGCTTGGTCTGACACTTTATGGAAGCTAAATTAAACTTGCACACCACATGATATAAACTGACACAAATGCTGTGAATGTGTCATTAACAGAATCAAAGCTAAAAACTTCAAATTAATAATGTATTTAGGGACAAAATAGGAATTAGGTGTAACAAAATAAATCAAGAGGAAAAAATGATTAGTATCCCACTGACTTTATGCACAGTGAAATATTCATGGATCTGTTAGCATTTGGACAATAAAACACATTGGAAATTAATTACCATTGAAATGTATGGCAATAAATTAATATCTGAGCAGAAGGTCATAGAAAATCAAAAAGGCATCAGCTTGATTAGTGTTCATGCCAGCTGCATCAGTAGACAGAGCAACAAATAATGGCAACAGTCAGCTCGACTGATGGGGGCTTCTCTCATAATGCAAACACACCCATACACACATCATAGGTACCATCAAACCCTGCATCTTGATCAGACAGCTCTTCTCTAATTGAGCTAATCCCCACTTCAGGATCAGTGGTGTCCCTTGAGGTTGGACTCTCCACCCTGCCTCTCTCCTGCTCTCTGTTTAAGCCTCCCGTCCCCTCTGTGGCTCATGTGGGCTGTAAAGCTGTTTATTGGGAGACAATGGGCAGCAGATTGTGCTGTCAGGCTCCATTAATTACCATCATTAGCATCACACTCCAGAGTCTGTGGAACTGGGATCCTAGGCCCTAAGTTGCTTGTGTACTGTGTGTGTGTGTCTGTCTGTGTACTTGTGTTTGCATGTGACATGTAGCTACATGCAGGCATGCATATGTACTACGTTTCATTCAGCAAATGCTTAAAAATTACTTTCACAAGTGTTTTCAGGTTCTTTTTTATATCCTAATCTGTCAAATCTCTCTCACTTCTACAAAATGTCAACATGTGCTTTAATAAAATAAAAAAAAATGCAGTGTATCATTAGGTGCATTATCTCAAAACAAAAATGTATAAAGAACACAGAGCTACATAAGTAATAATTAAAAAAATATGGAATGTTATCTAATCAGTGGTGACTCCACAAATCTGTTTATTTTTGTTAAATGCCAAAGGGTGCAATAAAATGATATCAATTAAGACTTTTAAATTACCAGAGGTCTCGCAAAGGTCTGCTAAAAATGGTGAAAAGCTTACAGTCTTGACACAAGTTTAGTTTATCCAGTAATCCAGTTTTGAGTGAAGATACTGACTGAATAGAGGCTGGCTGTTTTGAGACTTCCACCAAGTTCAGATACTGTATATGCTCTTTAGCTTTATAAAGCTTATTTTCACCCAGACTTATTGCTCTTTTAGTTTATGTAAAACAGTTCAGTTTTTGTAAAAGCTGCTTTGTTATCAGTATTTTTTGCTAAAACCAATATTTGTAACAGCAAAAAGCTTGGCAATTTTGGCAATACTGCAACTAAAAACAATAAAAATACTATATTTTTTAGATTAAACAAATCATTCCAACTCTAAATAATCTGCTACTTTTTTATTTTCACTTTAAATTTGATCTCCAATCAGCTGCAAACTGTCCATTAATGTTAGCAAATGCCATAATACAGTACATTAGCTTGCAAATGGCATTAGCCAGTACCAGCTTTAAAGAGTATTATCAGTTTTGGACTACGCGATTTTCACTTGCATCTGTCTTTGGGAAACTATTGAATTGTAGCATCAGCTTTGGTATCAGCAAAGAAATATATCAATGTGTCACTAATTCACATTACATATAGTAAAGTATGTCCTGTCTAAGCAATCCCATCCACTGTTCTAAAGGCAAATCCTGTCTGAATAAGACCTACAGGTGAAGTGTGGCAGGACAGCAGTGACAGAGACATCAAACATATTATGCAATGTTGAGGAAATGCTGCATGGACTGTGACTGAAGTATAGAGACTGTGAACAAGCCAATGAAAACCAACTCTTTATGATCCATATGTCCTTTAGAGCAAGCTAATCAATGTTCAAATGCAATTGACTACTGACCACCATTGGTATTTCCACCTCCAGCAGCGGAGCTCTGAAAGGAAATTGAACCACGTTTCTGCCACGCACCCACTGAGGCATAAGCCTTCTTACTCCAACTTCCTGTCTGATCAATGTAAGAGACAATGACCCAACAGGTGCGACAGACAGGAGCCCAGCAGTAGCTTTCCTCCCCACTGCTAGGCCCAATTAGCACCCAGGGCTAAGGAACAAAGAGGTGACATTTCATTTCAGCAGAGTGCCAGTTTAAGGCCTCTTCTCTCAACCACAGCCTCTTTTCTTTCTGTCTCTTACTGCTGACATCTTTAAAGGATCATCCCTGGCTCCATCGTATTCTATTAGATTGGGTCGGTGCCTTGTGTTCGAAGTGGCAGGGGTGTTAAAAACATGAGGCGTTGATGAATTCATTGCATGTGACTGGACTTGCTTTCTTTGTGTGGAGGTTTTGGCTAATGAAACCCCCTGAAGGTTTGACAAAAGGCAAAGACATTTTTCAGGGTTTGGCTCACATTCCGGGTCCAAGCTGGATTTCCTGACCAAATTACATACAAGTGCTGCCAACTTTTCAACTTATTTGGAAAGTTTAATAAAATGTTTTAAAGTCCTTCCCTATCATTTATATAGGGTCATCACTGTAATGAAACAAATCCTTGTGACTACAACCATTCACCACATTTAAAATCAGATATAACATAAAGCTAGGTTCTCTTGAGTGTTTAACCAAGCAGTCAAAACCATTTACTGCAAAAAATAGCTCAAATGTCAAAGCAAGGGGTTTGAGCAGAATGGCTGCCAGGATCCTCATCCTCATCTACCTCACTTTCTTTCTGAATGTATGCCCCATCAACCTCACTTTCTTTCTGAATGTATGCCCTGATGGTTTATTGTTATTACCATAGGCGGCACTACAGGAACTGAACCAAAATGCTTTTGAATGGAGAGATAAGGTGATAAAACAGGTTGAGATACATAACTTTTGTTACATATGATCTCTTTTAAAACTTCCATAAAGCATAAGGAGTTTCCTAAAAAGCAGGAAAATGTATGAAATAAGTAATACAGGACAGGGTTCTGCTGTGTTCTGTACAGTAGTGTATATTTTAGACCATATATACACACACCAAATAGAAGAAAGTTTGGTTTTAGTCCGGAAGCCACATAGTAATAGCTGTAGTTCAAGAAATTGTCACTTTACTTTATGTATAAATTAACAAATGAACCTACATTTTAAAAGATGGCTAACACTATCAACGCATTTTAACTAATCCTTTGCCATCAATATGAGCTAGGCCTACATTATACTTAACCTCATGGTACTTTCTCATAAGGCAAGTATAATGTAGGCCTAACTCTTTTAAAGGGTTTATAAGCTGAAAATATTGGTTTTATGTAGCAAAAGCACCCTTAATATATAATATAGGCTGCAATAAATCATATGATTACTGTTAATAACACTAAGCTTGTTTTTGTTATCAATCACCTTTGTGTTTGTTTTCTGTATTTGTGTATTTTCTGAACAGGTGGGTATTGATATGTGCAATGTGTTTGTGATTATGTAAGTTTTATATGTGTTGTATTCTATGTATTTACATGTCATGTTGTTATTGTATTTGTCTAGTTTTGTGTTTTGCAGTGCCACTTGTTGGCTTTTATTGTATGTTGTGATAGTGGTCAGTCAATAAATTAAAAACAAAAGAAAAAAGTAACTAGCATCCACAGACTGATACTATTTATACACCAATATGTCAAAAGTAAAGGCAGCCTACCAGACTAGATAAAAAAAAAAAGTCTCCCAGAAATCAACTGCGCATGCGTTGACCTTAAGACAGAACGCGCTCTGTTTAAGTAGTTCTCCCTTTCTTACAGGGCTTCTACTGCAATATCATACCAAATAAATAAAAGATGCTGTGCATATTCTTGCTGTGAACCCATGCCATTTAGTAGCCACATGGGACATAGCGTACATAGCCTGTCAACACAGCACGTGCCAGCGTACATAGCCTGTCAACACAGCACGTGGACAGCACCGTCAGTAAATATGAAGCAACCAGGAAGTGTTTTGGCGGTTTAATCGTTGCGATGTTCGTTTTAACACAATTGATCACCGCTCTTGGAAAAGCGACCGGGTGCTTAACTGTCGCTGTTGTTGTAATTGCAGCGGTTTTGAATTATTTTGAAGACGCTGAGCCGATTAAATATACCAGGTGAGAACAGCTGTGCGCGATGTGGGCTTAATTACATATATATTGCTGGTTCGAGCATGTAGCGTGTTAGGTATTTTTAGTCAGATAAATATTGGATAGATACTTTATGTATTAGAAATGTTTAGTGGAGATAGGATGTCTAGTTAGACTGTTAAATGCTTAGGCATGCTTATGAGTTTCTACAGGGTACATCTGGTCAAGGATACTAGAGAGAAGAGTTGATGACTGTCAGCAGACAGGGTGTTTAATATTATTATTATGACGTGTATAACTGTAGCCTTAGCCATAATATGTTCTTATGTTTAAGTCACGACATGTTACTAGAGGTCGTGAGAGAATGTTTTTAGCTACACACCACTTAATCAACAGACACACACACACATTGATTTGCTTCATGTTTTGACTAATGCTATAAGCTGGCAACCGAGGGGATATAATGTATAGGCCTGGTGGGTTCAGGGTCTTTCATCTTACATCTGCCTGCAAGCAGTTTGGAGGTGCAAGATACCTGAGCGTGTAATGTTAATTTTACCTGTGATCCTTTGAATAAATCAGCACTGTTTTGAAGTTACTTGGACTGTCTCGTCTCTCAGAGTCAGTATGGTAAAAAGTACCGGGTACAACAAAGCGTATATGCAACATTACCGTGAATGTGCACGTAACTATAAGCTAGTGGCAATGGCAGTTACAATGGTTCCAGAAATGTGAACACCAGTAAGAAGTAGAAATTTGGTTTAACCGAGATGGCTTAATGTTACGTTTCTCCCTGGGTATCTTCGTGTAATCCAAGAAGAAACTGCGTCAATGCAGACGCCATTATCAACAAATCCATGAAAATGCTTTGGTTTTTGTAAAACACCGTTAACGTTAGGACTGGTGTTTGAATTGTTTGCGTGACTTTTTGAGTGAAGAACAATGTTTGTGCACCACATTTAACATATGCATCCATTATCTGCATAAAATATGTCAGTTTATCTTCAAGGTGCTAACAGAGAAGTCCATTTGTTTTGGAACACAGCATGACTGAGGACATGAAGACCCTGGAGGAAAACTTCCGGCAGCAGAATAAAAGCTGTTTTATTCTCGGTGCTTCCGGGGAAACAGGCAAAGTGCTGCTTCAAGAGCTGCTAGGGCGCCGCATATTCTCTAAGATTACTCTCATTGGAAGGAGAGCACTCACCTTTGAGGACAAAGCATATGAAAAAGTGGTCAGTGAAATGATTCTCTAGTCATTTGGCTGCTTTCTTTATTAAGATTCTATTACCTGAGATTCATCATGTGGACCATTAATTGCTTGACACAGTGTTTTCTGTGGTTTCAGGTACAAGAGGTGGTGGATTTTGAGAAGCTTGATGACTATGCTGCTGCCTTCCAGGGCCATGATGTTGGTTACTGCTGTCTGGGAACAACCAGAGCGAAAGCAGGAGCAGTAAGTTTAACTTCTTCACCAGCCACTTAATAAAGATGTTACATTGGCGCCATCTATAGGTTGGAATATGATGGGTTTGTTTGTGGGCAGCAATAACGGAGCAGTGTCTTTGCAGCCAACTTGCACTTGCACCAGAGAATTTTCACAGTGCTTTTTAAGGTGTTCAGAAATCAAACATAAAATGTTGAACTCATGTTTGTCCCATTCAGTCAGATGTGACTGTATTATTTACATGTTGTCAGGGCTTGAAGATCTGAGACTGTGACCTGTTCTGGCAAGTTATGCTTCTTGTGATTTATTTGTATAACATAATCATGAAACAATCTCTATCTCAGTAAGATTTTTGTCACAGTATTATTGTATGAATAAGATGATAAACAATATTTTGGTATTATTGTTCATCCATAATTAAGATACACATAATGGATTGTTGATTCTTTGTTCTAAGTGACTAGTTTACTCTTTATAATATGAACATGTGAGGTTTTTATTTTTGTCACTTGTCAGAATGGTGTAATATTTTTCTTCAGGAAGGATACATCCGTGTTGATCATGACTATGTTCTAAAATCAGCTGAGCTTGCCAAGTCAGGAGGCTGCACACAGTTCCACCTGGTGACCGCCAAAAGAGCACATAAAGAAAGCAACTTCCTCTATCTTAAAGTCAAGGTATTTTATTTCCCTCTCTAATGAGTTTCACTTACTGAAGCCGTCTTTTTCTCAACTGAAGCTTCTCTGTGTATCTCTCAGTAAATAAGGACATAAGTAAAAGATCAACATGAATGGATTTTCTTTCAGGGACAAGTGGAAGCAGATGTTGAGGCGCTAGGTTTTGACAGACTTGCCATTTACAGACCAGGGTGAGTAATCTCGTTCATTCAGATATTCACAATATGAGGTATGGAAAGTTGTACTCAAACTAAAAACAAAATACATACAGTACATAAATACATAATCTACAACAGAAATATTGTGTAAACACACAATGTCATGAACCTAAGGTAATGTTAAAGTAGTCTTTACTTCAGGGACTGCAATCAGGTTTGTTTTGATCTCCCCTGCTGCTAATTTTTCAGTTAGATATTAATTTAAATTTATTTTTGTCACTTGTCAGCATTGTCAGAATGGTGTTAAAGTAATATTTTTCTTCAGGAAGGATTCATCCGTGTTGATCATGACTATGTTCTAAAATCAGCTGAGCTTGCCAAGTCAGGAGGCTGCACACAGTTCCACCTGGAGTCCTCCAGAGGAGCAGATAAAAAAAGCAACTTCCTCTATCTTAAAGTCAAGGTATTTTATTTCCCTCTCTAATGAGTTTCACTTACTGAAGCCGTCTTTTTCTCAACTGAAGCTTCTCTGTGTATCTCTCAGTAAATAAGGACATAAGTAAAAGATCAACATGAATGGATTTTCTTTCAGGGACAAGTGGAAGCAGATGTTGAGGCGCTAGGTTTTGACAGACTTGCCATTTACAGACCAGGGTGAGTAATCTCGTTCATTCAGATATTCACAATATGAGGTATGGAAAGTTGTACTCAAACTAAAAACAAAATACATACAGTACATAAATACATAATCTACAACAGAAATATTGTGTAAACACACAATGTCATGAACCTAAGGTAATGTTAAAGTAGTCTTTACTTCAGGGACTGCAATCAGGTTTGTTTTGATCTCCCCTGCTGCTAATTTTTCAGTTAGATATTAAACTTGAACCAGTGATCAAGGCTTTTATGATGTGATATTTGGTTGAAATCATGGGTGGTACCATAATAGTGTTGTGTGAACATTTAGTGTATCAAATTCAAAATGATAAAATCTGCTTTTTCATTGTTTATTGTACATGACTTTAACTCTACCCAAGTCATTCTAGTGTGATATATGAAGAATAAATGTTAATTATCCCAGAACAAAAGATGTCAAGCCTGTTGTATGAAGTTGTTGTTGACTATTAAATAACCTAATACTGTCTCTAATTCATCAATTGTGTTTTTCTCCAACAGGTTTTTATTGGTAGATAAACAGAAGAGTCGGCCAGGCGAGTGGTTGGCCAGGAAATTCTTTGGTGCTCTTTTTGCTGTGGGCTCTAAATCCATGTCCATCCCAATCCAAATGGTGGCAAAAGCAATGGTGTCAAACACTCTGCTTCAACCTGAGCAGAAGACGGAGATCCTTGAGAACCAAGCCATTGCCAGTCTGGGAAAGAG